GCCAAATGCTAAGGTAATCTCAGATCCTTGAGCTCAAGATACTTAAGTTCTTCTTCTCCAACTTCTCTTTTCTTCTTCCAAGCACCAAATCACCAAAGTAAGCTTCACAAGGACAAAAACACACAAGGATGAAGTACGAAAGGGTTTCTAGGGTTTTCTAAGGTTGAGAGGATGGTAAGGAGGCTAGGGTTTGATTCATAATGTTGTATTTATATAGCTTAAACACTAAAACTTAAGGTTTGGAATCTACTCAAGTACGCTGCGCGTACGTGCATGCGTTCCCCATATCCAATGCTCCTCTACGCCCCCACGTATGCCAAGGCTACACCCAGCATACGTCTTGTGGGCAGCCCAATTATTTGGCCCACTCACTAATGGTCCACTCAATGATCCATCTATTAAATACATAGCCCAACAATTAATTAAAGAAGTATTAAATAATTATTACCTCAAGTGACGGTTGTTACAAAATCTTTAATGAATATTTTGAAAAAGAACCAAACAAAATGAGTTCTAGAAGACCTAGTATCCTCAATAAAAGTTCTATGCAGACAACAGAACCTCCAACCCAAGAAGATCAGATCCGTGGCTATCGAGCAATTATCAAAAGCATATATCAAGTAGCTAGGGCAACAAGAAGGGTATTTGGAAGAAAAAATTACAGCATTACTTTAGAATTAATTCTGGACCCAGAAAGACAGCTAGAACTATCAAGAGAAATGCGAGCAAACCTTGTCCCAGTAGAAGTATGTTACTCCAACAATAGAAGTACTACAATGCACAGAGTATACCTACACTATTCTGAATAGAGAATCCTATGTATCAATGATAATCAAATCAACCTTCCTTTAAGTTTATGTAACCAACAGAGCTATCAAATCTTAAGGACTTCAGGTGTTCAACATATCCATTAGGGATATTCATGATAAGGTTACATACATTACATCGAAGAAGTGCTGGTACGAATGCTTTGGTGGTTCTAAGAGATACCAGATGGGAAGATAGTTGGCAAATCATCGAAACCATGGAAGTAGATCTCTCTGCAGGAACACAGTTAGTCTACATGTTTCCTGATATGGTTCTAAGTATAGATGAGTTCCATAACCATGTATGAGTTGCTATAGAAACTCACGGATATGATAACTGGCAAGGCGGTGAAAGTAATCTACTAGTCATAATGGCCATGATTAGTAGGCTATCAAATACAAGCTACATGGGATTCCAATATAGTGTGGACAACGTTGTGGTCCATCTCACAACAAATGGCATTATAGCAACAACTGGTGAAAGAAGAAGTGTAGAAAAACTCGAAGGTATGAGATGGAATCTAAAATCTTCTGAACAAACTACGGTACATGCCCCTTCCAGAGTAGCAGTAAATGAAAGGCTCAACAGATCATTAAGCCTTCAATTCGAGAGATATCGTAGAGCACCCCAACTAGCAAGGCACTCAGTTGACAATAATGATCAAGAAATAATGGGTAATGATAACTTAGATGAAGATGAAGAACATTTCATAGGAATATGCCTACAAACCCCACAGACAGAACATATCCCTTGTGATATATGTTTCTGTGAAGATTGCTTAAATGAAGTATTAATAATCCTAGAAGATGAATCATTAAACAAACCTAAGTGGTCCAACAAACTAAAATGATCAAAACAAAAGCCATGGTAAAATGGTCAACACATAATGAACCATCTAGAAAATAGGACTCAGATGTGATGTAACAATAAGCACAGCCCCGATAGAAGAGATTATAGCAACTGGCTGGGGAGATGAATTCTTAGAAGATAAAGCTACCCCAGGATGGGTAACGATTCTTAATGAAGCAATAGAACAAAGTGATTGGAATGAAGATGAAGGAAGTGGAAGAAAGATTCTTGCCATACAAGAGAAAATTTTATAAAATCAACAAGACTTTCTTGATGAATACCTACCACAATGGGACGATCAACTAGCCACTCAAAAACAAAGATCAGAGTTAGAATGGGAAAATCCATTCGCAACAAAGCGTGGTGAGGACCATACAGTGCTCCATCTTTCTAAAAATGACAACACAGACGATGATCTTCCATACCCAAAATTTAGAAAAAACAAACATTTGGCAAAAGAAATCATCAATAAACATGAAGATAACGCATTCCCAACAGCCACAGATGATGTAGAATCGAGCACAAACTATCAACCTCCACCAGATACAATAATGGAGCCAGCAGTATATCCGCCAGCAAGACAAAATCCACAACCAACATACAGGCCAAATTATTAGTCTGGTTACCCTCAGGGAAAAGGCAACACCTTTTATGGAGGATATGGTGAGTATTATAACTCCCAGTAGATACTACCATCTGCATGGATAGATGCGGGAGTAATGCTTGTCCTACTAGCAGATCCAAGCCTATGGTCAGACGTCATATCAAGATGGGAGTCTATAACAGTCAATAGACTAACCAATCAAACATGGTTTCATAACAAGGCAAATTTAGCCTATATGGAGAATCTTCTTGGAGAAAGCGAAAAATTAATGTCGCAACAATGGTGAACTACATACCCAGGAGCATACTCTGCTCTTGAAACAATCGCAGATGGCCCACAAAATATAACTTCACAAGTAAGACAACTAATTATAATGGAGGATCCATATAGAGGATCAACTGATGAACATGACAGGGCCTACAGGCACCTAATATAATCACATGTGAAGAAACCAAAAAGTTATCGTCATTCTTGCAAGATTTTAGATGAATGGCAATAAAGTCTAGAAAATTATACATTCCTTCAACAATAGAAAAACCATTTGCTAAACTTCCACCCTCTTTATCCAAGAAGATAGAAGAATCATTTAAGGCCAAACACCCTGGTCGTAATGCAGAAGTCTTACCTGCAATCAAATTTATTCATAATTTCATTTCAAAAATGTGCAAGGATGTGGCTCTCACCAATGTATTAAGGGATTTATCTCTTTCTTTTGCCATACTAATTCCTTGTTATTATAAAAATGACAGGAAAAAATATGGAATTGAAAATCAAGGACATACAAAGGAAAACCATAGAATTCTCATGTGAAGCCATTCAATAGAAAATACAATGTTGATAGAGGGCGAGTAAAGAAGTATAAATGCTTTATTTGTGGAAAGGAAGGACACTTTGCAAAAGATTATAGAAGTAATCAAGGAAATATCGCAAGATCAACTATTTATCAAGAATTAGATCTTGAAGACAACTGGGATATTATCTCAGCAGACCTTGATGATAGCAGTGTATACATCATATCAGAAGGAGAAAGTGGTGTTCATCGAAACATTCGTTTTTTAGTCCAAGACACTCCTTTTGAAGAAGCAGTCCTCATGGCGATGAAAGAAATTTATGAAATTAATGATGAACAAAGCATAGAAGAAGGTTGTGATAGTCATCATGCATTCATGTTTCACCTTGGACCACCAACAAAAATAGCAGACATGGTCTAATCAGCGGGATCATGGAAGCCAGAAAAAGAATTACCTACCCAAAGCAAAGTTTGTGATCACGATTGGAAAGAAAACACAATCACAAATTATACAATATGCTATTACTGTGGAATATTAACTAGTGACATGTCAAGGCTCAATTGTCCTAAGTGCCAACTGACAACATGTGCTCTTTGTGCAAGAAACTATCTTGGCAAAATAGTTAATGTTAAAGGAAAGCAATCGCATAAACCAGAGGAAGAGGAAAGGAACTTCAAAAGTAATAAAGTAAAGATTCTTAAATAACTTTTAAAAGAAAAGATAGAACAAGTGCAACAGATGATTAGGGATCAAGACAAAGAATACTATGAAAACAAAGCCGCTATGAAAAAGAAGGAGAAATTATGGAAAACAAAGGAATGGTTGTTAATAAGGGACCTTAGAGATGCCCTCAAAATCATTGATTAGCTAAGAACTGAAAAGGAAAGTCTTGAAGAACAGAAGAATGAAGAAATAAGAAAAATTAAGGCACAACTACAAAAGAGAAAAGAAGAAGAAACTCAGTTCTCTAGTAAAGAGTTTCTGCCACCAGGAAGTCGTTAGATAGCAAGACCCTTCATGGAAGCAGAATTTTATTATTCTGGAAACACTACTACAACTCCAAAAGTTAAGAAGGTCACCAATCAACTTTACAATGTGAAGGTTGAGTTTGAAATTCCTAACTGCCCAATGTTTGGAACCACTGCAATAATAGATACAGGGGCATCAACATGTTGTATAAAAAAGAAAGTCATTCCAGAAGAAGCAATGGAACCTCTAAATCATTATGTTTTCTTCAATGGCCTAAATTCAAGACAACAAGCTACCCATAAGATAAAGTAGGGCTACTTCCTAATTACAAGTTAAGAATGGACAAATCTAATGTATGGAGATAAAAGACTGAAGACTTATGATTATGATTTAATTAGAAAAATCAAGTATTACAAAAACACACATTTTTTTATTAAAATACCGCAGAAGCTTGATTATACAATGATGGTGGTAATGGGTTTTTCGATGATTTTTTAAAACTAATACAAATGCCTTTATATCGGCAAAACATAAAGAAATGGCATATGGAATATGCCAAAGCATAAAGGAATAAACCATAGCATATGCCAGGGAATATTCTCGGACCATTATTTGATTATATTACATTGGCCCCACATGATAAATCATATTAATAATTTACATAATAATTCATACTAATGGAAGACATCTTTTATTTCATATGTAGGCCCTTCATGCTTCAAGACAAAGTGGAACGGGACGATTCAATTTCAACACTTGTAGGCAATAATCATCTGATCTCGGGTCCAATATCAATATTGAATGGTCATCTTGTAGTAAGTCTTCATATTTGTCATTGATTACATCATTTTCAGATGTTGTTATGTCCCAGTCAATGTGCAAGTTCTTCCAGTTCGATGAGGTTCTTCTGTATTCTTTCTTTTGAATTTAACATCTTCCCCTTGGTTAGACTAGTGGTTATCTTTGGTTGACATTCCAAATTAGATTTGGGCTTTGCATTGTATGATTTCTTGTAGGTTTCGCATGGCTCTGACTGCTTCATTTGCTGCTAAAACATTGAGGTCTTGAGCGATCGATCTCCATACATTAGATTTATCCATTCTTAATTTGTAATTAGGAAGTAGCCCTACTTTATCTTACAGGTAGCTTGTTGTCTTGAATTTAGACCATTGAAGAAAACATAATGATTTAGAGGTTCCATTGCTTCTTCTGGAATGACTTTCTTGTTTATACAACATGTTGATGCCCCTGTATCTATTACTACAGTGGTTCCAAACATTGGGCAGTTAGGAATTTCAAACTCAACCTTCGCATTGTAAAGTTGATTGGTGACCTTCTTAACTTTTGGAGTTGTAGTACTGTTTCCAGAATAATAAACTTCTGCTTCCATGAAGGGTTTTGCTATCTGAGGACTTCCTGGTGGCAGAAACTCTTTACTAGAGAACTGGGTTTCTGCTTCTTTTCTCTTTTGTAGTTGTGCCTTAATTTTTCTTATTTCTTCATTCTTCTGTTCTTCAAGACTTTCCTTTTCAGTTCTTAGCTGATCAATGATTTTGAGGGCATCTCTAAGGTCCCTTATTAACAACCATTCCTTTGTTTTCCATAATTTCTCCTTCTTTTTCATAGCGGCTTTGTTTTCATAGTATTCTTTGTCTTGATCCCTAATCATCTGCTGCACTTGTTCTATCTTTTCTTTTAAAAGTTATTTAATAATCTTTACTTTATTACTTTTGAAGTTCCTTTCCTCTTCCTCTGGTTTATGCGATTGCTTTCCTTTAACATTAACTATTTTGCCAAGATAGTTTCTTGAACAAAGAGCACATGTTGTCAGTTGGCACTTAGGACAATTGAGCCTTGACATGTCACTAGTTAATATTCCACAGTAATAGCATATTGTATAATTTGTGATTGTGTTTTCTTTCCAATCATGATCACAAACTTTGCTTTGGGTAGGTAATTCTTTTTCTGGCTTCCATGATCTTGCTGGTTAGACCATGTCTGCTATTTTTGTTGGTGGTCCAAGGTGAAACATGAATGCATGATGACTATCACAACCTTCTTCTATGCTTTGTTCATCATTAATTTCATAAATTTCTTTCATCGCCATGAGGACTGCTTCTTCAAAAGGAGTGTCTTGGACTAAAAAACGAATGTTTCGATGAACACCACTTTCTCCTTCTGATATGATGTATACACTGCTATCATCAAGGTCTGCTGAGATAATATCCCAGTTGTCTTCAAGATCTAATTCTTGATAAATAGTTGATCTTGCGATATTTCCTTGATTACTTCTATAATCTTTTGCAAAGTGTCCTTCCTTTCCACAAATAAAGCATTTACACTTCTTTACTCGCCCTCTATCAACATTGTATTTTCTATTGAATGGCTTCACATGAGAATTCTACGGTTTTCCTTTGTATGTCCTTGATTTTCTCATTCCATATTTTTTCCTGTCATTTTTATAATAACAAGTAATTAGTATGGCAAAACAAAGAGATAAATCCCTTAATACTTTGGTGAGAGCCACATCCTTGCACATTTTTGAAATGAAATTATGAGTAAATTTGATTGCAGGTAAGACTTTTGCATTAAGAACAGGGTGTTTGGCCTTAAATGATTCTTCTATCTTCTTGGATAAAGAGGGTGGAAGTTTAGCAAATGGTTTTTCTATTGTTGAAGGAATGTATAATTTTCCGGACTTTATTTCCATTCATCTAAAATCTTGCAAGAATGACGATAACTTTTTGGTTTCTTCACATGTGATTATATTAGGTGCCTGTAGGCCCTATCATGTTCATCAGTTGATCCTCTATATGGATCCTCCATTATAATTAGTTGTCTTACTTGTGAAGTTATATTTTGTGGGCCGTCTGTGATTGTTTCAAGAGCAGAGTATGCTCCTGGGTATGCAGTTCACCATTGCTAATACATTAATTTTTCACTTTCTCCAAGAAGATTCTCCATATAGGCTAATTTTTCCTTGTTATGAAACCATGTTTGATTGGTTAGTCTATTGACTGTTATAGACTCCCATCTTGATATGACGTCTGACCATAGGCCTGGATCTGCTGGTATGACAAGCATTACTCCTGATTCTGTCCATGCAGGTGGTAGTGTCTACTGGGAGTTATAATACTCACCATATCCTCCATAAAAGGTGTTGCCTTTTCCCTAAGGGTAACCAGACTGATAATTTGGGATGTATGTTGGTTGTGGATTTTGTCTTGCAGGCGGATAGACTGCTGACTCCATTATTGTATCTGGTGGAGGTTGATAGTTTGTGCTTAATTCTACACCATCTGCAACTGTTAGGAATGCGTTCTCTTCATGTTTATTGATGATTTGTTTTGAAAAATGTTTGAATTTTTTAAATTTTGGGTATGGAAGATCATCGTCTGTGTTGTCATTTTTAGAAAGATGGAGCACCATATGGTCCTCACCACGCTTTGTTGCGAATGGATTTTCCCATTCTAACTCTGATCTTTGTTTTTGAGTGGCAAGTTGATCGTCCCATTATGGTAGGTATTCATCAAGAAAGCCTTGTTGATTTTATACAAGTTTCTCTTGTATAGCAAGAATCTTTCTTCCATTTCCTTCATCGTCAATCCAATCACTTTGTTCTGCTGCTTCATTAAAATCGTTACCCATCCTGGGGTAGCTTTATCTTCTAAGAATTTATCTCCCCAGCCAGTTGCTAAAATCTCTTCTATCGGGGTTGTGCTTATTGTTACATCATATCTGACATAATAATCCTATTTTCCAGATGGTTCACCAAGTGTTGACCATTTTTCCCATGGCTTTTGTTTTGATCATTTTAGTTTGTTGGACCGCTTAGGTTTGTTTAATGGTTCATCTTCTAGGATTCTTGCTTCATTTAAGCAATTTTCACAGAAACATATATCACAAGGGATATATTTTGTCTGTGGGACTTGTAAGCAGATTCCTATGAAATGTTCTTCATCTTCATCTCAATAATCATTACCCATTATTTCTCGATCATTATTGTTAACTGAGTACCTTGCTCGTTGGGGTGCTCTACGATATCTCTCGAATTGAAGGCTTAATGATCTGTTGAGCCTTTCATTTACTGCTACTCTAGATGGAGCACATATCGTAGTTTGTTCAGAAGATTTTAGATTCCAGCTCATACCTTCGAGTTCTTCTACACTTCTTCTTTCACCAGTTGTTGTTGTGATGCCAGTTGTTGTGAGATGGTCCACAACATTGTGCACGTTGTATTGGATCCCATGTCGCTGGTATCTGATATCCTACTTATCATGGCCATTGTGACTAGGAGATTACTTTCACCGCCTTGCTAGCTATTGTATCAATGAGTTTGTATAGCAACTTCTACATGTTTGTGGAAATCATCTATAAGTAGAACCCTATTAGGAAACATGTATACTAACTGCATTCCTACAGAGAGATCTACTTCCATGGTTCCGATGATTTTCCGACTATCTTCCCATCTGGTATCTCTTAGAACCACCAAATCGTTCGTACCAGCACTTTTTTGATGTAATGTATGTAACCTTATCATGAATATCCTTAAATGGATATGTTGAAGATCTGAAGTCCTTAATCTTTGATAGCTCTATTGGTTACATAAAGGAAGGTTGATTTGATTATCATTGATACATAGGATTCTCTGTTTAGAGTAGTGGTTGTATACTCTATGCCTTGTAGTACTTCTATTATTGGAGTAAAGTACTTTTGTTAGAACATATTTGGCTCACCTTTCTCTTGATAGTTCTAGTTGTCTTTCTGGTTCTACAGCTGATTCTAGGGTAATGTTGTAATTGTTTCTTCCAAATACCCTTCTTGTTGCCCTAGGTGCTTCATATTTCTCTGATCATTGCTCGATAGCCACAGATCTAGTCTTCTTGGGTTGGAAGTTCTTTTTTCTGTGTAGAACTTTTATTGAGGATACTAGGCCTTTTAGAACTCATTTATGTGGTTCTTTTTCAAACTATTCTTTGGTTCTTTGGTTATTTTTCAAACTGTTCTGCTATCTACATAGAATTGTTCTTTTTCAAAATTCTTATTGAGGATCATAAGCATTTTTGAAGTTAATGGGTTAACAGGGTAGTATGTTGGGCATACAAGCCAGTACGCGTAGCGTACAAGCCATGCAGTAGTACGCTTATCGTACAGTGGAGTACGCCCATCGTACTCTCAGGTTTTGGGCTTTGCGATGTTTGGGCCTCGGTTTGGGCCAATCTTTGGGCTTAGCAGTTATTCAGGTCTCAATGGGCCATTAGAAGTCAAATAATGGACCAATGACATGTTTGGGCTTAATGGAAGGCCCATTTAAGGAGTTTGACCCAATTTAGAAAATTAGGCCATTAGTGGGCCTTTAGTGGGTTTGGAAAGATTAGATGGAACTGGAGCTAGGTTATGGTCCAAATTAGATTAGGGGGTAAAATAGTCATTTTACCCTAAGAAAGGTTATTGGATTTTGACTAAGTATTATTGTGATAATGATACCCAAGGAGTCGTGGGAGCAGCCGATAGAGATTCCTTACCGAGAGGTTCAACAGCCAGCTTTGTGAGGTGAGTTTTCCTCCAGTATGAACAGGTTCAAGGCACCAATGGCGGCCATTTATGTATGTTAGCATATACCGGACTTAGGTCCGATGCCGGGGTTGGCCCGATGTAGGTTAAATGTTTCCGGATTTCGGTCCTATGCCGGGGAAAGCTCGAGGAATGTTTGTATGCTTGATGTCTTCGTGATTCTTGCATGTGTTTATTTATATGTTCTGGGCTTTCATCCGATGTCGGGGTAAGCCCAAGGAATGTTTAGCTTATATGTTATGTTTATATATTTCGGGCTTCGATTTGATGTCGGGGCAAGCCCGAGGAATGATTATGTGCTTATGCTATGTGTATATGTTATATGCTTTGTTGATATTTTATATGTATTTTGGACTTCAGTCCAATGCAGGGCGGGGTCCGATGCCAAACTTCGGTTCGATGCCGGGCGGGGCCCGATGCTGAACTTCGGTTCGATGTCGGGTGCGGCTCGATGCCGAACTTCGGTCCGATGCGGGGCGGGGCCGATGTAGCGGTCAAGGCCCAATGTATGTTATTGTGTGAATATTGTATAGTATGTGGTAGTTTGGGGAGACCTACTAAGCTTCGTGCTTACAGTTTTCAATTTTATTTTCAAGTACTTTCGGTAACAAGAGGAAGAGCTCGGGATGATTGTAATGCACACACCATATGTTCAGCCTGAGATTTTTATACGCTGATCTTGTTGATAGATGTTATGATATTTTGAGATAGACTAGTTATGTTTTATGAGATGATTTGGATTATTATGGTTTTATTTATAATTTAAAATGAAATTTATGGACTGTATTTTTGGGATGTTTTAGATTTTATTAGGATCTTCGAAGACGTATATCTTTCCGTCTGTTCTTTTTAATGGGAATTTACCACTAACGGAGAGATTATCAAGTCTTTTAGTCAAACTTGATATTGAGTCTTCCAAGTCAGTTGGTTGAACTTCCTTTTCTATCAGAGTATGAACTACTTGCTTGAGCTTATCAAACTTTTCCTCAAGTTCAATTGACTTCTGACTTTGATTGATGGCTAAATAAAGTAAAGTGTTATTTTGTTTTATAACAGCATTCACCTGTATAGCCACACCTCCTTTGTAATCAGATG